CCTACGAAGGACAATAATAAATCACGGTGGTTTAAGTAATCAATTACCTCATTTTGTACCTTAAGATTCGCAAAAATGGAAACTTCTGAAAAATCGGGATTAAACAGATGATGATATTTCCGTCTTCATCACTAACTGACTTAAATATCGGGTTTTTTAAACTTGATACCTATAGCCCGGCCGGAAAAGGGGTGTAATGTATCGTCATCATGAATTTTATAATTCATTGTCAGTTTTCTTAATTCCATTATGCCGACCCATTTATGCTACATATACAATATAGCTGCAACATGTCTCTACCACGTATAATCTCTACCACAGCTCTACTAACGTCTGCAACAAAGTAAAAATAGATTACTCAGTGACTGAACGCAAGATGTCGTCACACAAAAATTGCTTACAAACCGCAATGTTCATTGAACTAGACCGACAGATGGACCTGTCTTATTGTTTTATTATTACGTATTTCTTTTACGAATTAAAGTTCCACGTGCGAAAGAGACGGCGTGTTCAGTTTTAAAGAGAGACAGAGACGAATGCAGATTTTTTGTCTTTAATAGCTAGGGATGATTGTATTTTAATTTTTGTCGACTGTTGCGGTTTGTAAACATCGTTAAGGTCAGTGAAATTCCTAATAGTTGTACGTGTTTTGAAATTAAAATGATAGATTATTTAAATCGTCATCACCAACTGTTACTTAAAAAGGCTAAGTATCAATAATTAATAATTATGCTACAAACAACTGAAATTACCATTCTTGGTTCCTATCATTACTGTATTGTAGTAAAGTTTGAAAAAAGTTCATCACCCTAAACTATATAAGATAAATAAGTTAGATGTTAAAATTACAGCCTGTATACGTCCCACTGCTGGGTTTTAGGGCAAGGAAATATGTCCGCCGCCCTTCCCCAAAGCGTGTTGGCGAACTTCGCATGTCTTCGAAATATATTTATTTCTGGTTTCCCAGACATGTTGGTTTCACCACGATGTTTTCCTTCATCGCTGAGCACATGGTAAATTAGCACTTAAAATTTTATCGTTATTCTATATTCTATATCGTTATTATATATATTAAATTATATCGTTCGCAGAAACGACCACAGGAATAATTTGGGCCGGCAGACCACCCCACATGTCGGTCACTTCGTGAGCCAGGTCCAGATATTTCGTCAGCTTATCTGTTTCATTTTTCACGAGGTACTCATCATAAGGAATGGTAATGTCGATTATTATTATCATTATTAATATACACTACAAACAGTATTTTTATAGAATAAGGTTGATGAACAAGCACACTGTCCACCTGATGGTAAATGGTTGCTGTGGCCCGTAGAAATTTACAGTTAACCTCAATTAAGAATTAAAATGCAGATGTGTTGTCACTCCTGAGGACTAAGATAATGCCTCAATTGAAACACAGCAGCATTAAGCTGCTATTTTATGGTATTCTGTGAGAGCGTGGTCCCCGGTCGATTTGTGCTACAGCTATACATAAAATAACTGCAGCGAGGCTCGACCACATGTTAAAATCATTCAATCAAAACGTCATTGTAAATCGATATATGATTAAAGAAGCTGTCGATGAATAAAAATATATAAACTGATAGATTGATAATTTATGCAGTGAGTGTGTGTCATTCCCGAGTTTTTTTTTATAGGATAGGGTGACAAACGAGCACACAGTCCACCTGATGGTAAGTGGTTGCTGTGGCCCATAGACATCTACATTTATCCTCGTTTGCGAATCAAAATATAGATGCGTTGTCACCCGTGAGGACTAGGATGGAATGCCTCATTTCCAGTAAAAAGGGCCTCCGGCCACCTGCACTCACCAAGCGAAACGCAGAGGTAAACCTCTACTTCACGCTGGTATTCTGTGAGGTCGTGGTACCACCCCGGTTCGAACCGGCCCATCCGTGCGACAGCAAAAGCTGCCGCCTGGCTCTACCACTGTTAAAAAGTGAGTGTTATTCCTTATGTACTATTTATTATTATTACTATTATTTTGTAATAATTTTTAATCTAATCACAAACATAAGCCATAATATAGCTGCATTATGCATGTTCGTGATATATAACTCTACCACGTATGAAATGGTAGGTAACAAGAGTTTGTCTGGTAAGTGCAACCAAGTAGCACTGCCTTTTTTATACGATAAGGGTGACAAACGAGCACACAGTCCATCTGATGGTAAGTGGTTATTGTGGCCCATAGATATCTACAATCTATCCTCGATTTCCAGTAAAAAGGTTCTCCGGTTCTCTACACTCACCATACGAAACACAGCAGCGTTAAGCTGCCATTTTACGCTGTGTAGAATGTGAGATACACATGTATTGTGTGAGAGCGTGGTCCTTCCACAGTCGGGCCCATTCGTGCTACAACTATACTACTAATATAGCTGCATGGCTCTACCACGTATAAAAGTCTGGGGGTTAAGGGTAAGCCTGCCTGCGGTGTTATAGTCTAGGGGTTAAACAGAGCAACATAGTTACAGACTGTGATGTATTCCACCTTAGTCCTCAGAGGTAGCAACGTATCTGTGGCTTTCTTTGTACAAAATTGTTTACAGGTATCCATGGGCTGTAGTAGACTCTTACCATCAACTGGATCGTAAGTTCATTTGTTACTTCAATTTTCATTAAAAAAAAAACCTTAAATTATAACAAAACATCCGAGCATTACAACCAACAACGGTTACAACCTCAAGTCTGTAAAATTTTAAACCGTCGTTTTAATTTTGCGCCACTTCGTGTCAATTACCCCATCACTAATTATCGAAGACACTCGCAACCCTATCGGAAATCTATATAAAGAAACCGAATTGAATATGTGACAGATGGCATAATTAACTTTCGTAGTTCTTTAGTGGGCGCAGGAAGCGGGAATAAAGAGTGATATTTAAAAACAATGCAAGTTACAAATACGACTGTAACAATGGAGTGGCACACAATGGCAGCCCTTGTAGAGTGCTCAGCTACCGCGAGTGAATGGAGGTCGCTGTTTCAAGTATTCTTGTGTGTGCTCCAACAATTTGTACGCTGGAGTATTTTTATCGGTTTGTTACTAAATGAAAATTGAATTAAATCCTTTTTAAGATTGTTGGCTATTATCACTGAATATTCTAAAATTCATCACGCCTATGTCGTCTAAAGGAGAACGGATTTTTCAATAAGTAAAAGTAAAATATAAGAGTAAGGAGCCCAGATTTCAAGGAATAAATCAGAAGTTGTAGACGTTCTTCACTACGGCCACAAGTTGAAATGACGATGAACGGGACATTTGGCACAAATTTAAGACTAGAGATGGACAAAACAGACTGGCAGGGACCAATAGAATTCGTTAAAAGACATGCCAAAAGAAAAATGGTTTTGGGATTGTAACCGGTAGACATTGGTAGTGTATATATTCTTTGACATTGGTACATTTACAAGCAAACTTAAGTATGGATAATTTACACAGTAAGAAACAAATAGTACATGGAAAAATACACTTAAATCTTTATATTACAAAATATAAAATATACGAAGTTCTTTTGTATTTGTGAAAGGGTTATGAAGCAATAAGAAGAAGAAGCCCACCGCTCTGCTCCAGTATAATTTAGTAGACTTTACGTATCGCGGCATTTTATTTCTCAGACATGCATGTTTCCTCACGATTATGTAAATAACTAGAATAATGAAATATAACACAAAATCCCGGCATTTAATCTTATTCTACATGAGATAAATAATATTTATGTATAAATAATATTAAATAATATTTGTATATGATGGCGACTTCATGAAGAGCATTAAGTATAAATTTGCTAGAGGATTATGAAAGTGATGACGTCAGAATGATGATTGTGTACCTATGTATTTAATTTATACGCGCATAAATTCATTATTATTTCATTACAACCTACCAAAAGTCAAACGCTGAACATAGAGCTACCCTATAAATATAATTACATTTGTTTATTTGTTTCTCTGCGTCCCTATACCATTCATCGAACTACTATAAATTGGAGAGTGGAACAAGCGCGCCCGCGAATGCGGGCACAATTAAAAATTTTGCAATTCCGGGCACAGCTTAGTTAGTTATTTACAACATTTTGTAAAAACTATGCCACGTGCCATTTACTCCTCTTGGTACCTTAAAGGGTGGATATTTGTGATTGATACGACGCTGGGCAGACCGATAGGCAGTTGCAGGCTTTTATTGTTTCGGGTTGCTATCAGGAAGATGCTGTTGTCTATCTTCTGTTTCATTTCTCTATGTTGCTTCTTAAGGCATTCCGGGGATGATAACGTATAGTCGGCGAGTGTATATGCTATATACACATATATTATCTTTATTTATAAAAATTACGTGACACATTATTATTTGTCCGCGATGAACTCCTAAACTACTGAACTGAATTCATTGAAATTTTGCACACTGTGTGCAGTTTGATTCAACTTGAGAGACAGGACAGTTTATATCCCGATAAGTAACCTTCAATATTTTTTTATGGAGATGTGTGCCCTACAGGCACATTTGTGTGCTGGATTGGTGGAGAATAAAACCGCTGCGATATTTTTCTTTCTTCTATATTTGGTGTTTTCCTTGAGGTAGCTGGCCGCCGACTGTGTCGAACGACGAAAATCGCCCCTCTTTTATACCGCCTCGGGCTGGGTCAATTGATACGGCCGACGCATCGTACAAATGGCGTCGACCAATCAGCGCGAGGCGTGACAGAGCAAGTGACGATGCTGAGTCCCGTTACATTGTTTGTCTTAAGCTAGTTCTATATCTTACTGAGTCATTGTTTACATTGTTTACCTTAAGCTAGTTCTATTATACAAAGTGACCAACTAATTTTATTACACAAATATAAGCTCTACACTATTATTTTCTTAACATAAATGCTTATATCCTATCTAAACTACAATCTTTATCAATATAAATTTTTATCCTATCTAAGTACAAACTATCTATAATATTTATTCCATTAATATAAATGTTTTTGTCTTATTTATGTATCACTATTTGTTTTTCTCTTGTCCCGCACATCACTCCCGCCGTGCGACCGCGTCGCATCAGCTTCCGGTGCGGGCTCGACGTCCGTAGATAGAGGCAGGATCACAAGCTTCCTTACTGGCCGGCGTAGGACACCTCCCTTAGTTAGCACGTCCACAGTCCGCACGACGTTGTCGGGACCCGGATATGTAGCGATGACTCTTCCTCGTATCCACACGTTGCGAGGCAGGTTGGGATCGACGATCTGTACGAGGTCGTCGACGCGTGCTGCTTGGCCTCGTCCGTGGGGCTCCCGCCGGTGTTGAAGCTCAGGGAGGTACTCCTTCACCCAGCGTAACCAGAAGGTGTCGGCTAGCCTCTGCGCAGCTCGCCAACTTGACCGTGAGAGGGCGTCTCGTTCGGTGAAAGTGCCTAGGTGTGGTACTCGGCCTGGTCCTCCCAACAAGAAGTGGTTAGGAGTGAGAGCTTCGGGATCCTCTGGACTGACTGAGACGTGAGTCAGCGGTCGGCTGTTGACGGTGTATTCCACTTCTACCAGTAGTGTCGTGAGGACTTCCTCCGTCGGATGACGTTCGTGCAACGTCGCGATAAGAGCGGTCTTGACGGAGCGAACCATTCGCTCCCAGGCTCCGCCCATAAATGGAGCTCCAGGCGGGATGTAGCGCCAGGAGATAGTCCTTTTTGCTGCTTCTTCTGCGGTCGCTGCGTCGACCGCCTGTCGTAGTTCCTTATCGGCTGCCTTCAGGTTGGTGCCGTTGTCTGACCATATTTCTGTCGGGCAGCCTCGCCGTGCGATCATCCGCCTTATGGCCATTACCGCGGAGTCAGCGCTAAGTGAGCCGGCAACTTCTAGATGTATGGCTCGCGTAGTGAGACATGTAAAAATGGCCACATATCTCTTTTGTCGAGTTCGTCCGACGGTCACCGAAAGAGGTCCGAAATAGTCCACCCCGGTGTAGGTGAAGGGGCGCTTGTGGTGAGCTAAGCGACACGTTGGCAGGTCCCCGGTTCTCGGATGCGGTGGTACTTGCGTCTTCATTCTGCAGAATAGGCATTTTCGTAGTATTGTGCGTACGATAGGGCGCAGTCTCAGTACCCAATACTGCTGCCGGCACTCGTTGACTGTGGCTTCTACACCGGCGTGATGGAGTTGCCGATGTATAGCCTGCATCCAGAGCTTGACTGTGTGATGATCACCGTCAACTATCAACGGGTTCTTGAATTTTTCCTCCATGTCGCAGACTGCTCGAATACGACTTCTAAGTCGTAGTGTGCCGTTTATTGACTCGACGCTGAGCTGGCGAAGGCGGCTCTCCTTATTGATCGGCTTCCCGCTGTTTAGGCTGTCTATTTCTTCCGCAAAGGATTCTTCTTGGGAGGATCGCATCAGAAGCTCTTCAGCTGTCTTAAGCAGCTCGGCTGAGACCATTAGCGGCTTTATGTCTTCTGGCGACTGCTTCTTTGTCGTCATGTGCGCCTGATATTTCACTGTAGTTTTGTTCTTTTTCCAAGTGGGATCAGCCTCTTTATTCTTCTTTGTTCGTTTGTAGTTGACTCTCTGTTTGGTGTTTCTGCAGAGTTGAATGAACTGTAGAATACGTGCGGTTGAGTATCGGAGTCGGTCCCAGTTGGAGAACTTCGCTGGATCAGGTAGACCTTCGGCAAGCCTCAATCTTCTTTTGTTGCTCACGTAATGTGTCCTTTCTTCGTCGGAAGGTTCTTCCGCTGTTGCTCTTGTGGTTTCTGTCGGCCAGAAGTCCTCTGTTAGGTATAAGAAGTCAGGCCCTTTGAACCATCGATGTTCTTTATTAAATGCTGCTGGTACGTCTCGTGTGGCGTCGTCCGCCACGTTCAGCTTTGTCGGAACCCAGCGCCAGTCGTTAACTTTGGAACTCTCTTCTATTGCTGCTAGACGGTGAGCCACGTAGGGCTTATATGAACGTGACCCTGTCCTTATCCAGGTTAGTACTGTCTTGCTGTCTGTCCAGAATACTTTGCGGTCAGGTTTCCTCTCGTGTTCTTCGACTACTGTTTCTGCGAGCCTGGTGCCCATGACTGCTGCCTGTAGCTCCAATCTTGGGATGGACGTCAGTTTTAACGGTGCCACCTTTGCTTTCGCCACAATAAGGGATAGGTGGACCTCGCCTACTGCTGTTACAGCTCTCCAAAAGAGAACCGCAGAATAAGCTGACTCGCTGGCATCGCTGAAGACGTGGAGTTCTAGGGAGGCCGCGTCACTGTAGTGAAGATATTGTCGCGGGATTGCTATTTCGTGGAGGCCTTCCAGATGCTCCATCCACATTTTCCACTGCTCTGCCAGGTCTTCGTCGATCTTGTCGTCCCATGCTGTTCCTCTACGCCAGACTTCCTGGAGGAGTTGTTTTGCCCTGATGGTGATAGGCGAGGCGAATCCGAGCGGGTCGAAGAGCGACATCACTATTCTCAGTGCTTCCCTTTTCGTCGGCTGCTTCCCTTCTAGGAGTGTTGAGGGTATTCTGGCTAAGTTGAGGTTGAAGGTGAGTTCGTCCGAGTGGATCTTCCAAACAACACCCAGAACTCGTTCCATCTTTTCTTCTGTTTTGTAGAGTTCCATGTCTTCTGTCTGGCTGTCTTCTCCAAGTGTTTCTAGGAGCGATGCTGAGTTTGATTTCCACTGTTTCAACTCGAAGCTGGCTTTCATGTGCACGGCTCGTACACTCTTCGTGATGCGTTTGGCATCTTCGAGGGTTCTGAAGCTGTCCAAGTAGTCGTCGACGTAATGCTTCATTATGATGGCCGCTGCGGCTTCTGGGTGAGTTTCCCCGTGTTGTTTGGCGTTTAGGTTCTTGACGTATATTGCTGTCGAAGGCGAACTCGATGCTCCGAAAATTAATGATGTCATTCTGTACTCTTCCGGAGGTTGGTTGTCTCGTCGAATCCCACGCCATAGGTACCGCAGTGCGTCCCTGTCTTGTTCTCGCAACTTGACTTGCAGAGATGTTCACTCTTTGATGTCCGCCGTAACCGCGATCATGTGTTGTCGGAAGCGCATGACGACACCTGGTAGCGATTGTAGTAGGTCGGGCCCTTTGAGTAGCATGTCATTAAGTGCCACCCCTTTGGTCTTGGCTGCGGCATCGTGTACCACCCGTAATTTCTCCGGTTTCATTGGGTTGACTACTGCAAAGTGAGGTAGGTACCAAGTTTTGTCAGCTGTCTTCTGTTTTGGGGCGGATTCGGCGTACCCCTTTGCGACGAGAGCGTTCATTTGTTCCACGTATTTCTTCTTTAACGTGGGGTCACGATCGATCTTCTTTTCTATGTTGAAGAGCCTCTTCAGCGAGTTTTCGTAATTGTCTGGTAACTTGACATCGTCTTTGCGCCAGAGAAGACCGGTCTGGAATCTTCCTTCTTCTGTCTTCGTTGTGGTCCTTTCCAAGATACGAAGTGCTTGTTCTTCTGGATCAGTCTTCGGTCTCTTGGGCTTTATACAAAGTGCGTCCATCTCGAAGTATCGCTTCACGAGGTCTTCTAGATTCTCCTCTGGATCTTCTACGATGTGTGACACGAAATCGATGTTCCGTCCGAAGCTTCGTGTCTGGCTGCCGTGGAGTACCCAACCTAGTGGCGTGAGAGATGCCACTGGGTGGTTCTTGTCTCCTTTTCTTACTTCCGATGTCAGCAGAAGATGCCAGTTATCTTGTCCGATCAGCACTCGTGGCTTGGCGTTTACATATGTGAGATGTCCTTGGATATCAGAGAGGTGTTGACACTCCTCCACTAGATCCTGTGGGACCCGTTGAGATGAGACTTGCAGGTTCTTCACTGTGCGTGCTTGTATTTGTTCTTCATGATCGTTGAGCCCCTTTAGTTTGATGGTGACTCTCCTCGATGCTGACTCCGATACTTTCTTGTCGTTGATGGTTTCTATCTTCAGTGGGTCTATGGGGCCCGTTGCTCCGACGCTTGTTACTATACTATCGTCGACGAGCGTGACTGTTGAGCCGTCGTCCATCAACGCGAAGGTGTTGACAGCTCCTTTTGGTCCTTTGACCTGGATCGGTAAGATTTTTAAGTATGATTGCTTCTTGACGGTCCAGGTTGAGTTGATGACCTCTGTTACCCCTTGATTTTCTTTTGCTTCTGAATCTTCTGACTTCTTTTCGTAATGCAACATCTTCTGGTGAGAGTATTTGCAGCTGTTGACATTACATGGCTTGGGTCGGCAGTGGTGTGTCTTGTTCCTATAGCGAAGATACCTGAAGCAGAGGCGCTTGGACTTGGCCATGTCCCATCTTGCATTTGCATCTAACTTCTTGAATTGTTCACATTCTGTGGCGTTGGTGTGCCCCGTATCTTCACATACGACGCATCTTGGTATGTATGTCTTCTCAGTCACGTTGTTGATCCTTTGTGGTGCGGTTGTAATAGGCGGTGTCATCTGTTCGGGCAGCGCGTAGGGTCCACACAGTTCTGCTTCCCTTTTGAAGAACTTCTCTATCTTGATGAGGCAAGGGTCTTCACGTGGCTGCATGGCTGAGAAGTCGTAGTACCTATAACGCAGAGTTGGCGTCAGTTTGTCTACTATTGTCTTCGCGAGTTCAGGATTGTACATGTAGTTAAAACAACCCAAAGTCTTCAGTGTCGCCACTACGTTGGAGATCTTGGTGGCGAATATGCATATGTCTCTTGGTGACTCAGTAAGGCGCGGCAGACCTCTAAGCGTCTCCATCTCCAGCATGGCTATTGACTCTGGTCTTCCAAACCTTGACTCCAAAGTCTTCATTACTTCAGCCGGGTGTGCGTTGGTCATAAGTAGGCCTTCAACTGCTTCCTTGGCCTTCCCTTTCAAGTTTCTTCTGAGTCGATTCGTATTTTCAACTAAGCTGAATGTCGCTTCTGTCTCGTAGTAGGCGGCGCGAAAGGGTAGCCATTCCTGATGAGACCCGCTGAAGAATGGTAACTCGACGAACTTAGGTCGTTGGGCGGCGCTGACAGCCCGAGTGATGGCTTCAGCCAGGAGGGCTACGTCAGTTTGACCTCCCGCCGGTGACTAATGTGTTTCTTCTGCGTGGGCGGCTGTTGGTTCTTCTATGGCATGGTGAGGTTCGTTGGTGATTGCTAACACCGGGCGATTCACTTGATTCTCCAACCAGTCGTCCACTCTTGTATTGACTTCTGATCTTGAGTAGAGGGATGCGTCATCTTCTTCTTCCTCCTCCTCTTCTGAGTCTTCCCTTTCTAAGGCAGCAAGGCGTGCTGCGGCTAATTCCACTTGAAGGCGTAGTAAATCTTCTTTCGCCTTTGCAAGCTTGAGCTGCTTCGTTCTACTGCGTGTAGATCCCCCTCCACCTCCCTTCTTGCTGGGAGGGCGGGGTTCCTGTAGCCCAGTTTGCTTTGATGGACCGGCGGTGCTTCTTATGGCTCGCTTCACTGTAGAAGTTTCTGTTCCTCGGTGAGTTGCTCTGGTGACAGTAGCGGGCGGCTTCATCAGCTGTTTGGCCTTCGCACCCGCAGTTAGTGTCGTCGCCGCGGATGGTGTTACGGAAGGAGCGACGGCGCTGGCGGGGTGCGTGGCGGGGGCGGCGGTTGCGGCTGAGGCTGAGGTGGCGGCGGACGAAGTGGTCGCTGCGGTGGCGGAAGTCACGGTGGATGGATCAGTCGCCGCGGAGGTGTCTGTATACTCCGAAGTCTCCGTGGCGGTCGTCCCTGTAGCTGTTGATTCCGTACTGGCTTCCGCACTGGTGGTACCGGTCGCCGAGGTGGTAGCCTTGGACGACGACGGCTTGCTGCCCCTTCCCTCAGAGCGCGTAACGGCCATGCTGTCAGCTGACTTTTTCTTCGAATAATCTTGAGTCTTGAAAAACGATTTCCGAGGAGTCTTCTTAATTATTTTTCTTCAGGTAATTATTCCCCACAATATTCGGCTGGCGAAGGACCATTAAATGTGCCCTACAGGCACATTTGTGTGCTGGATTGGTGGAGAATAAAACCGCTGCGATATTTTTCTTTCTTCTATATTTGGTGTTTTCCTTGAGGTAGCTGGCCGCCGACTGTGTCGAACGACGAAAATCGCCCCTCTTTTATACCGCCTCGGGCTGGGTCAATTGATACGACCGACGCATCGTACAAATGGCGTCGACCAATCAGCGCGAGGCGTGACAGAGCAAGTGACGATGCTGAGTCCCGTTACATTGTTTGTCTTAAGCTAGTTCTATATCTTACTGAGTCATTGTTTACATTGTTTACCTTAAGCTAGTTCTATTATACAAAGTGACCAACTAATTTTATTACACAAATATAAGCTCTACACTATTATTTTCTTAACATAAATGCTTATATCCTATCTAAACTACAATCTTTATTAATATAAATTTTTATCCTATCTAAGTACAAACTATCTATAATATTTATTCCATTAATATAAATGTTTTTGTCTTATTTATGTATCACTATTTGTTTTTCTCTTGTCCCGCACAAGATGTTAAGGATTTTTACAGGAAGACGAAGTCGTCGAAAAGGACAGAACAACGTTTGCCTGTGCACCTAGTATATATATATACACGTGGTGAGCCATGTTGCAGCTATATTTCTGGTATAGTTGTAACACGAATTGGTCGGCTCGACCGGGGAAGGACCACGCTCCCACAGAATACCAGCGTAAAATAGCAGCTTAATGCTTCGTATGGTGAGTGTAGAGAACCGGAGACCCTTTTTACTGGAAACTAGGCATTCCATCTTAGTCCTCACGGGTGACAACGCATCTACATTTTGATTCGTAATCGAGGATAAATGTATATGTCTATGGGCCACAGCAACCACTTACCATCAGGTGGACTGTGTGCTCGTTTGTCACCCTTATCCTATAATATATATATAGAACATAAGAACTACGAACAAATGAAGATAGAATGGTAATCTCTCCCACTTGTTTTAGCAGTATAAAGTATCGCACAGATGAATAAAAGGCATCAGTCTGTAATTCTAAGACTCCCACTGTCGTTACTATGCCCGTTGGGGTATTCTACTAATGTAGGCAAGGAAGGTTGTATTGCTGAGAGGCTGCCCTGTGTT